CACTCACTTCGACTGGAGAAGCTACAATATGGTAGTCAACGGCTGGGGTTTCTGGACTATTTCGGTGACGTTGACTCTTCGTACGGATTTTGTATGCGCGGACCTGAATTACTAGGAGAAGGAGGCAGAGGACTGGAAACGTCCTCATTTTCTTAGGGGTCGCTGCGATGCTTACAGACCTACCGTACGGTGGTTTTATAGCCATATTTGAGTTTCTAATGTTTAACATCTGTCATCATTCCAAAGGAATGCTTTAATTAAGAGTCCTTAAACTTTGGAAACAAATATCTCATAATGGCTTGCGCGCAGCCAAAACATTAGCATAATAAGCAAAGTTCCTCTACATCTTAGAATCTCTTAGATTTACTCGAACTTTACAGAATAATATTCACCCTTGTGAAGATCTAAGACCATTGGCCTTCAGTCGTATCTAGATTTCTTGGAAGGTGAAGTCAACTAATCCAAATATCACCATTACAAGCGGTATGGCTCTTCATCAAAATTCACAGTTTCCTACAATATTTAAAAACGTTGCTCTGTTTTAAATGCATGAGATTATTGTAAAGGTTCATTGTAAAGCGAATGACCTTGTAAAGCAAAAGTAGATAGAATGCATTATTGGTAGTCAATTATAAGCGACTGGATTTTGAAGATCTCTACCAAAGTTTACCCATTTTACTAAAACCTTTTTTTATGCAGAAATAGCTCACTTTTGAACAAATATATAAAGAAATAGGAACGCTAATAATCTCTTTAAAATGGGCTCATCACACTAGTACCAGCGAGAAAGCTGTTTCAGACCAGCACTAACTTTCCGATGGTTTTGCGCTTGACTTGTTCTGAGTCAAAAGTTTATTTCCTTTCCTGGGGGTTATGTACAATCTCATTTATAGCAGACGCTTTCAACATGACAGTTTGACATTATGTTAAAGGACAGCATCACTTCATTTTTTTTGTAAATGGGCCATTTTGCTTCACAAGCGCAGCTACGAGATCAACATTTCATCTGTATCAGGTACATTTTTTAAATGTAAGTGAGAAAAATCAGTTCTAAGAAAAAGGTAAGGTGACATGAAGTGAAAATTTGATTACATATGCAAGCTCCATAAATGTGAATGTAAAGGGCATGCGTCTTGGTGTACACAACTTTGTACTTAGTTGCTCCATGAAACTTTATTTCATACGCTTTTATACTCTAAGATTCGTTTCTTTTAATAAATCTATACTCTAACCTATATTTTAAAGAGGTCGGCAGCACATATGCAATACAATATTACGTTCCTTGCAAAAACTGTATTGTGCTGCTTTTCTTTACTTTTTCTATGAATTTGGCGGTTTTTCAACTGTTTTTTCCTTTTAACCCTTCCAGCCTCTTTACACATCGGAAAGTACCTCACTAGGCTTCATTTTTTCATTTTTTGTTTAAACTTATGCGCTTAGAGTTTGAATTTGCTCTTCAAGTCTTAGAAAACTCTAGAATCATGGTCATATACAAATCATCGCCCGAAGGCTATTATTTCCAATTACAATTCATTGAATTACAACACTTACCCTCGGTACTTTAGTGTATTTATAATCGTCTTTTCTACAATTCCTCCCTTGCTTTGAAGATGATCTCGCACCAATATCCTCCTTTTAAACTCAAGAAAATTCGAAAACTTGAAGTTCAAGCAACGCTTAATCAATAACTGAGTTTTTTCAGAATATTAATTCAGAATTAGCTACAACTGACATATTAATTACGAGAATCATGTCGATTTTACACAGGCTCCTACTGTAGAGAATGGGGCTACGATGGAAAGGACTAAATCTTCGATACGCTTGAAAGAGTCAAAATTATTTTGTGCCGGCAGTGTAAAATGGCTTGGTCGCAGTTAATGGATATGGTTTTCGTAATTAACATGGCCAGTCAACCTCAGTACACCATTTTTTAGGCAATTCATTGATTTGTCCTCTGCACTAATACAGTACGGAGCTATTGTGAATGCATGTATATTTCCCAGATAAGTGTAATTAATTACCTCACAAGGTAGCATTACTGCATTTCAAGCTTTGCTTCACAGAAAAGTTGAAGTCAGTTGAGCTTCTTTTGGTAATCCAAAATCTTAATTTTACACCTATATTTTAGCAAAAATGAAGGCAGCGGCTAAGTACTGAATTGACTTGTAGAAGGAGCCTTCTTCTTTTGAAGGTATACAAAGCGTTGCCAAGATGTTTGACTTTTAATTCAAATTTCAGAAAAGCGCGAACCTATCTCACAATCCAATACATCACCACCTCGTCCTTCACGTTTCTTTTTCTTCCCTTTTTTCCACTAGGCTTCTATTGAGTTCGCGAGCTTCACAATTGCAAAGTGCCCAAATAAGGTGAGAATGAACTGTGGCATTTTCGTAGTACTCAAATGACGATTTCCGAAAGCTGTACAGCTAAATCTCTGAATCGATAGACTGTTGTGTTGCATTAACGTGACAACTTGGTTTTATCGGGATGATCTCATACACATCGTTTGATCTACACTACATGTTGGTCTTGGCGCTCAATTACGCTACAGAGCTGCGCTTAAGGAGCCAATTTTTTGAAAAATAGATTTCTTTTTCTTTTCTTATCCACTGTTAAGTTCTCTTACTGTTGTTACATATGAAAGTGTGAAGTTCTCTTACTGTTGTTACTGATTACATATGAAATATAGGGTGAGAAGTTATTATGGGAAAGACTAGAAAAAATCTTAGTACCATTTTTCTCTTCTTGTCTGTCATCTATCATACCGTTATTTCTCTGATCTTAATGAACTTGTTATAGAAATGCGAAGAGATGCGAATCAGAAATTTACAGAAAAAGGCATCTTAGCTTTCTTCGATACAATATCATTTCCCTCCTTCCTTGCTTTTCTCTGTGCTTCCCTTTGTAAGAACAATGCGCAGGAAAGTTAATTATTACATGCCATTATTGTTAAGTAGATTTTCCGTTTGCATGTACAATTGCACACCATGCGTATTTGTCCCGACAAAATCCAGGTTGACTGTCCCACTTCGCCATAATCGTACATAGTAGATGAACATAATCTTGCTTATTTTGGCCTGTGATTTTGACTACTCAGTCCATCAAGTGCTATAGTAGATAGATTTTATTCAGCGAGCTTTCCAAAAAATGCTGCATACGTTTGCCCTGTCTTGCAAAGCTCGTGTTTTTATCCTTGTGATTTCTGCTTACGCAGGGTCTGCT